AGTGGTGGTGGTGGTGTTTGCCTGACGTGAGGTTTTGCTCACTGGCTGTGGAAAAGTATAACCCAAGCCCGTGAAACTTTTCCACAGCCAGTGAGAAAAACCTCACGTCAGGCAAACACCACCACCACCACTCAGCCTGAGGGACAAGAGCAGGCACATAGCCAGGGGGGGGGCCCATGGGGCCCGCCCCCCCCCCCCCCCCCCTCCCCCGAAATCTTCCATTTTGCTGGGGCCCCCCTCTCTCCCCTCCCCCTCCTCTCTTCCGCCCGCCCGCCCGCCCGCCCGCCCCCCCCCCCCCCCCCCCCCCAAAACAAAATCTTGGCTACGTGCCTAGACAAGAGAACCCTTTTTGGAGCCCACTCACTGGATTGGAGGCTAGTCTCTCACTGGCATCCCTGCTAACCCTAACCGAGTGGACTGTTCATCTACGAAGGATCAGAGGCGGATCCAGAACACCGTTTTTTTTGGGGGGGGGGGAATTTGTAAGGATATTATTCTCCCATTCTTTCTTTTGCACGAGGGGTCCACCCATGTCAAATTGCCCTTCGAGAAGGGAGGAGGGAGGGGGGGTCGACTTTGTTTTGGGGAAGGGGGGGGGGGGGTACAACCGCCCCCCGTCGCCTCCCCCTTGGATCTGCCCCTGCGAAGGATGGGCATTTGGCTTTATATCTCGTTTTGGGTTGTTTCGAATGAATTGCATCAGTGGCGTTGGAAGTGCTCAGGAGACCGGGCAGGAGCTGCTTACTATACCCCAGCTTACAATGGACTGCAACATACCCAAGGGCGGATTTAGAGAGGGGGTCCGGATGTCCTGACCCCCCCCCCCCCCCCCCCCTTGATTTCTACAATGGACTGCAACATACCTACAAGCATTGGAGCCAACCCACACCTCAGAGCGTGTTTTGTGACTTGGCAATGCTCCCCGCGTCGCTACACCCAACCGGCATGCGATATCCTCCGAGCTATGGATTGGCTCTGGTCGCCCGTCTGTTCATCGTAAGGTTAAGAAGCGGTGTATCCAAGTGTCTGAAATGCCTGCCCCTCTCGCTGTTCTGATGCCACTGAATTGTACGGTGAAAGGTGAAGCTGGTGTCCCAAATACAAGCCAATAGACCCTTTCCGGAACTCAGTGCCATCTGGTGACTCAAATGGCAGTTTATCTTTTACTATACTAATGGCGGCAATGAGCCTGTGGTCTGCAGTATTTAATGGGGCACCGTCACTTAAAGGTCAACGGTAAACGAGAATGTTCACTTCACTACAATTATTTTTCAATCTCTTTTAGTGTCGACGGCGAAACAAATGCAGCCAGTCGGAACGAAGCGCCAACCCACATAGACGCATTGATAGAGTCCTATACATCAAGAGGCTTTGAAGCCGATTGAGTGCTACTAACAGATTGACTGGGACTGAGTTAGAAATGAACGCTTACGCAGCTCTTGCTTCCAGTTCCTGCTTCACGCCTCGCTAACATCTAGAATCTATAGGGCCTCGAATCATCTGCTCAGGAGCATCTTCAACTTCTTCCTTCATCAGTAAACAGAAGGCCGCCATCAGTATAGCACATATGCCGTTTTCAGATGATGATGATAGTGGTCAAAGTGGCCAGACTGAATTCCGGAAAGGGTCTATTGTGCTCGGCTCATGTTTACCAGAGGCAACCATTTTACCCAAGTTCATTTTGGCCAACACGACTCTGTGAATCATGCACTAGCCTTCAGTGGCTTCCAGATTTGATTACGGCAGCCGAACAGATTCGCCAAACTAAACAGAGTTCAATACACGGCGCTCCACTAAACTGAGGCTTAACTTTCTCTAAACCGAGCTTCGATGAATTACACCTGGTCTTTAAAATGAGTTTCGATAAAATGGGAGGAGCGAAAATGAAGGGCTGCATTTTTTTCTCTTCTTTTTTTTACTTTTTAGAGCGAAAATAAAGGGGTATTCACACGAGGGAGAAATCCCGGGGATTTCTCCCCGGCATGCGCGCATCACGAGATGAAAACGCGAGGCTTTTGCACATCGCAACGCCTGACATTTTCGTCGTGGGAAGCACGTGCCGGGGAGAAATCCCCGGGATCTCTCCCTCGTGTGAATGCCCCTTACAGGTTATGTTATTTTTAAGCAACAAAGCCCAGGTACGGAGGAGCACAGGTTCTGCAAAGGCACAAACAAGCCGTGGACAGCTCTCAAGCTGTGAAGTTAACTCTGGTTGCTGCGCAAAACGTCCTTAAAGGGGCCCTGCAATCATATTTAAGCGTCTACCTTTTTTGCGGTTTCCACGTCTTTTGGTGTTGTGACAAGCCAGCGGGCACGGAGAGAGTAACTAAATATCAGTGCATCATATTTTAACCGGACGACGCGGAAACCTCCTCCACCGACGAGGGCGACCCGCGGTACCGAAAGCGCGCAAAATGTGACGTCTTAGGTCCTGGGCTTACTACTGGTCAAAGCCGCTAAGAGCTTTTTTTTAGTCGAGATACAAAATATAAGTGTCGCGAACCATTTCAATTATGTATGAAAGTAGTTTTTGTTCACTGTTTTAGATCAGAAAAAAAACAAATGCAGTTTAGAAAGTACGGAAACGAGAAATGACCCGTCGACATACCCGCCACCAAGCGACGGAAAAAAACGGCGCATACTAGAAAAGGATAGTGGGACGAGGCTGAGACAAACGAGGAGCGTAGAAAGGTCCCGGATGTACGCGGCGGCGCTGTGGTCCTATACCGGCTCAAGAATCCAACCGGTTCCGAGCGTTCCGAAGGCCTTCGGCGCGGGCCCTGCTGGCTATTTGGCCATTTGGCGGTGGGTCAGCGCGAAGTGGCTCCCGTTCTGAACTGATATTTACCCCGTGTTTGCTGTCGTTTGTGGCCAATGAAATGTTATGCCAAATTAGTGTTTAGTCGCGCTGCAAATGCAATGCGAGCTGCCCAGGCCGCCCGCTTCATACAGCCTATCCAACACGTGCTTGAGTGGCGCCCTCTCGAGCCGTCGACACGGAGTGCGGCAGCCGTGTACGCTCGATGAGCTCACTACTCCTCCTCTAGTTCAAGGCCACTCAAGCCAGGACCTACGACGTCATGAGGGAGGTTATTTTTTGCTTGTTTTTGTAATTCTAATTTGCCTATAACTTTTAAAATAAAGCGAAATTTGAGAAAAGAAAAGTTGGATTAAGTTACTACGTTCAGTACGCTCAGGTTCAGTGCAAATTAAAAACCAGTAAAAAGTCATTGCAGGGCCCCTTTAAGCTCCAATCCTATAGTCCATTTCACCTTATGTTGTACCGCAACGAAGGCTACAGACGTGAGCTCAAAGCGTTGGCAGCTGCCCTTAAAGGGATACTACAACGGAAATTTCGGCGCTCATTTTTTGGTCTATATGTGTTCAAAGGAGCAGCATCACATCGAACATACCAAGATCTCGTTAAAAAAGTCACGAAAAGGAATTTTAAAACGAATTAAACGATTAGCAAAGAGCACCTGGTGGATGTCGCTAATGCCTCGCTTGTAATGCCCGTCTAGGAACCTTGACAGCTAGTGACTGAGGTTGTCTCGTCTCCGGCCACGACGAGAGAAGAGGGGCAGGAGGAACTCCCCTCTTCCCGAGAATGCCTTCTGTGTGTCGCAGAGGTCGCTATTGTCCCCCTACAAGATTACAGAAGATTAACCCGTCACTCAAAATTCGTACAAAAGCAGCCGCTTCGGTGGCTGGAACGACTAGGCCATCCTCTCGACGTCAGCCTTGCCGTAGCTTTGCTCGTCTTGAGACGACCTACGTCACTATTGCGTTAGATGTCACGTGGTCGCCGCTGGGCCTTCTCCGAGCGCTTGCCAGAGTGGGCCGTTTATAACGAAAAATACAGCCACCAGGCTCAAAATACAAACGTGCGATTGTCATTTACGGATATTGTGGATCATATTCAACCTATTTTTGAACACGACGGGAATATTTAACATTTCGTTGAAGTATCCCTTTAATGCACGAGAGCTTGTGCCGCCGAGATCTGCTCCAGAGCAAGAAGCTCGCGCTTGTAGCCTTTCCTGGGGTAGATAAGGTGAAATACACCGGCGCAGAGATGCACTCCACTGGCTCCTCGAAGCTTTTCCACTTTCAGATCGAGTATGAAGCGACTGTCAACGCAGGAAACGATCTGTTCGCCCTCTCTCATCGCAGGGTTACGTGCCGCCAGGAGAGCTTCCTAGAGGTTGCACCACTGTGGTTGCGCCAGGCGCGATACAAGCACGGAACTGCTTCCGAATGTCAGGCAAGAGCCGACGACCCCGACACGCGCTCGTCATCGTGGCAATGCCAGTGGCGCGAGCGTTCCCGTGGCGGTTTATTTGCACGGGAGCGCGTGCAAATCAAGCGCTATATCAAGGCGCAGGCTCACGCCACCAGCTTTCATGGCCCTCTGTGTTGTATGTATACACCAGGGTGGCCCCGCCCACCCGGGTCCTGACGCGCGCGCGCCAGGCCCACTGAGGTTTCGGCAACGAGTTCGAGCCAGTGGAACGAAATGCACGCCTCAGAAGCCTCCCTGCTGCTGCCCGACCACGGTCCACACAAAAACGACGTCGGAAGCACATGAGTGCGGCACTTAGGCACTTAAGCACTTAAGCAAGGCACAGGAGCCAGGGTTCCGAGGAATTCGTGTCACTAATTAACCGGCTCAGTGGCGTGAGAAGTAATCGGGCAACCGTCTCTACGACGGAAGTAAGCGTGCACAACCGTCCAGCAATAGGAAGCAAAACAAAGCAGAAAACGTGGGGGAGCGTTCTTTGCTTTATGAGGCCAGGGGAATGTCGGCCAAGTTCGAAGTGCACCCCGAGCAGCGCGGCTTTGAGACCAGATAGCCAACTTTAAGAGCAGAAATCAAGTCGAACGTCTGCAGAGATCTGCTCGGTGGCCGAGCACAGCTCACGCGTTCAGGGCAAGCTCCGATCGAAAAGTCCGCTTTTGGCAGCCGAGAGGCCAACCCGTCCATCTTCCACGGGACTCACTTTGAGGTCATTGATGATGTACTGGAAGAGGCCTCCCAGAGCGCTGCAGTCTTTCTCGGGATGACTCTCCACCTCCATGACCGAAGTTGCGTCGAGGGCCGACACTACTTCAACGCATGACAGTCGGGCCCCGGTCGACGCCAGGATCCAATGGCGGCGTTCAAACTCAGAGGACGCCCGCCGACGTGCTTGGGAGACGGCGTCCCGCAGACCATGTCCCGCTGCGGGAAGTCATTCACGCTATGGACGCCTTTTCTCGCCTTTGGTAGAGTGGGGGACTTCGTTAGATGCACGAATCCTTACCTAGTTACGACATGAACCGCGAGAACGCTCGACTAATCCCTGCACCATTTCGTTTCGCTCAATGGCGATGACGTGGGTCATGTGACAGCTCATAGCTACATTATTGGCGGAAATTGTCAGAGGAAAAAAAGCTAGGAGGAAGAGTGGGAGATGGGACGGGGCAACGTTATTTTAAAGGCCCTCGCATTACGTCATCGAGTGCGTACGTAGGTATGTCCGAGGAGTGTAACTTCCTGTACCGCCCATGGGAAGCGAACTGGTAAACTGGGTAAACTCGGGCAACTTGGGCTCCTCTGGCTTTAAACGCTTTAAACTCTGGGAGTAGGCAGCGCCAATTGAATCCCCTGGTTTCTGGAGGCTGTACTACAGTCAACAAAGCGGAGCACCGAAACCGAAACCTAAGGCGCGCCATTATACAGTATTATAATTATTTATAACTCATAAGCACTGCAAAATTGTGCCACTTCGTCAACACTGTAGATATAACCAAAATCACACACAAAAAAAGCGCGCCAAGATGTCGTCTGCTACTTATTGTTGTTGAATTGCTAATGCCCAAACCCGCATCTTCCAGCGATAATACGAAATCGGCACACACATATTATGCATCAAATCGGCACTCCCATTCGCAGTGGCATGCATTAATACAAACATCTGTGAGGTTAACCCCCTTGACAACGGTGCACATTTCAAAACTGCACTGTGGTGGAAGCACCTTGCAGGCACACATGTCGGATTAGATTGCTAATGAGAATGGAAGTGCCGATTTGATGCTTGATATGTGTATGCCGATTTCGTATTATCGCTGGAAGATGTGAGTTTGCGCATTTCATGCAATTCAACAGCAGCAGCCAGGGCAAGCACTAAGTAGCAGACGACATTTTTGGCGCGCTTTTCTTTAACTGCAGTGTTGATGAAGTGACAAACTTTTGCAGTGCTTATAATCAACGCAACAATGTAATCTGCAACATTGACTACAATTAAGCTTCGCTTGATTTTGCGATCGAGAGATAGCGGACGACTGCCCATATTCATGTGGTTCAGATGTTGTGCAGCTCGTCGTGGTCGAATCCTTTGCAATTTAAATTTATTTCTAACGCGAGTTGAACTCTAAAACAATATGCTGCATTCGTGCGCGGCTCCTGACTGTACTAAGAGTACAAGAACAACTCGGCGATAACGTACCACGGGTAAGCTTTATATACGTACTCCCAACTTTTTGCCGCCAACTGTTTCCAGCTGCATTGCGATCTTTACGAACCTTAGCTCGCATTTTCGAGCGGCATTATCAAGTCGCATCTTTATAATACACTTAAATATGCGATAGGCAAGCAAGCACAATCTGAACCAGCAGTTTTGGGCACATCTATTTAGGACAACCGCGCGTATTTGAGAGTTGCTCTGTGGTGGAAGCAACTTAACGAGTCCAAATTAAGTTTGAAATATTATAAATTACATGCTCGTCATACTTGTAAAAAAGTTTCAGAAAGTTCAATAATTAGTGCCTTATAAATGAGGCGAAAGGGGTAGTTTAAAATAAGCACGTCTCTAGAATAAAATGCACACAAACAAGAATTAGAAATGCACAAATATGCATATGTTTTATTGAAATAGAGTTGTTTCGGTGTTTTGAAAGTCAGACTTCGTTGTCTGCCGCAGATTTCCACTGAGACACCCAGAACTACTCCAGCCATGGCCGCAGAAAATGAAATGCATACACTGGACTCCCACCAAGTTCTCCAAGCTGTGTTCAGAGCACTTCGAAAATGACTGCTTCCACAGGCTTGGTGGCAAGACTAACCTCAAACAAGGTGCAGTGCCCACACTGTTTACCTTTCGAGCGGTCAGACCTCAATCAACACCCCCGAACTGACCTTCCATCCACCTCCCAAGTGGTCCAATCTCAACGGTACCCTCAGACTGATTTTCCCTCTCCACAAGCCCCATCAACAGTGCAACTTCAAGCAGCATCAAGCAGCCCTGAAGCTCCATCTTCGCGACAGGCCAGTTGCCCTTGCGACCACAGCTACACAGTTGTGCTTCCACGACGGGACAGGATACTCTAGCGGCCAGCAAGCGCAAGCTGAAAAAAGCCAAGATGATCTTGAGACAAGCAAAAAGAAAAGGCAAACCTAAGGGGCATAGATAAAAAAGCTCAATGCCTTGCTGAAGAAACTCTGGGCACGGCTACCTCAACCAGCGGTAGCCATCCTGGTAAACATCTTCAGTGGCATTGTGCTGAAAGAAACTGGAAGGACAAACAACAGCTACTCGGAGTTGCAGTCAACCGCAACTGGAAGCTACCTCTCGGATATGCCCCGACTGATGGACTCGCAATACTGTTCGGTCCAAATTGGTCCAGCAGTACCTGATCAAATTGAAGGAGGTTGGTGCCAACTGCATCTCTGTGACGTGCGACGGCACAAGCTGCAACGTATCTATGCTCACAACACTCGGGGTAAACCTGGCGGAACCAACAATGAAGAGCTGGTTTCCTCACTCCTCCGACCCGTCAAAAAGGGCTTATGCAATCTTAGATGCATGCCACATGTTCAAGCTCGTGCGAAACCTGCTGGCTGAAAAGGAGCTGATCAGGGATGATGCAGGTGTGACTGTTGCCTGGCAGTATATTATGTGTTTGGATCGCCTACAGCAAAAGGAAGGTCTCCATGCCAAAACCAAACTTCAGAGGTGGCACATTGATTTCCACCAACAGAAGACTATGGTGTCGTTGACGACACAGATGTTAAGCCGCTCCGTCAGCTGTGCCTTGTTGTTCTGCAAGGAAAAGCAGATCCCGCTTTCAGGGTGTGCAAGCCACTGCTGAGTTTGCAGCAGTAGCAGATGACAGCTTTTCCCTCACCAACTCTTGTCACCCCCTCGCTCTTGGCAGCAAGGCCCCCATTCGCGTCAACAAGGAGACCACCTTGACAAGAATCGACAAAGCCTCGCACTACCTCAACGGCCTCAACGATGCCACTGGCAGACCCCTGATCCAAGGTCCAAGAAAGACCGCCATTCTTGGATTTCTGGTGGCACCTCCAGTCCATCAAGGGTCCGACTGAAGACCTCGCACGGAGCGGCAGTCCTTTGCTCCACTGCCTGCTGACAGGCCAGCCGAGTCAAGACCACCTCAAATTGTTCTTTGCAAACATCAGGAACAGAAAGGGCAACGACAACAACAACCCTACGACCCTCAAGTTTCACTTGGCGTACAAAAAGTGCCTCTCGTGAGTGTTCTGCCTTCGAACCGTGGCAACCGTCAGGTCAATGGCACGGAGACCCTTCTGTTGAGCTCCTCGAACAAGCGCTAGCAAGGCCCAAAAGCTGACACAAGCCACAACGACGACGATGCCACTTGGGTTGTAGGATAAAAGCCTCTCTGGAAGTTTGCCAAGAGCATTGTACAATACATTGCGAGCCATGCGGCCGTTCACTTTGCAAAAGAGGCAAAATGCTCGGACTGTACAAGGATTGCACGTCTTACCACTGACAAATGTGACCTGGTGCGTGTCAAGGACAAGGGCACTCTCCACAGTCCATCCCCAGATATCCTGCATCTCAGCACCACTGCCGAGAAGGTGCTTCGCAGAAACTTTGACACAGTGGCCAAGGGAGGGCAGAACTGGCTCCTTAGGCTGCAAACCGAGACATTGACTACTGTTTCCTAGTCATTACCCTTGAAGAGGTTCGACCACCTGCTTGTCGCACAAACAATAAACAATCAGTCCCATTTCTCTGTCGTGCTCAAAAAGACGCTGGCACACTACTTTCAGCTGAGGATTCACCACATGTGCCGGCAGCAAAGTGCCGAGGAAAGGGGAGTGCCCGTCCGGCAATAGTACTTCAACAAGCTCGTGCTCTTTTGTGGACAATAACAAAACCTGCGCTATATTTGCCAGCTGAGCCTGGCCTCCGTTTGCAAGAAGCCATTTATGGAGACGTGGTGCCACATATCAAAAGACTTGGCTTCTCACGACAAGAATCGTAGAGTTTCTTTCCAAGTCCCGACTTTTTTTATTTGGTTTATTTATTTTAAGTATCCTGGGGTTAGAGTGCTGCATAAGGGAGTGATTTAATAAAATATTGAGGTTGTCATGGAAACAGTCAATGTCTTGGAGGGAAACGGTGGCTTCAGACAGGCCATTACAGCGGCCTGTTGAGATCAATGCAAGGGAATATCAGATGCAGTAGCAAGATGAATGAATCGTGCAGGTGGTCATTGAATTAAAACCTACAAAGGAGACAAAGTTTACTAATATGCCTACATGAACACAGGGGTGTTTGTACAAACCTGCATTGAAGTTCAGTGATGCTAACAAACTTAAAATAGAGAATGAAGTGAGTAGCCCGATTCTGAATCAATCCCGGATTGGGTGCGAGCTTGTGTTGGTTTCAGGCCGAGGATGAATATCCTAGTTTTGGTCCCACTGTTTTAACATAAGCAAGGCACTTGACAGATGAAGAAACCAGACGGAGGTAACAGCATAAGAAACCAAGGACAAACTTTGAATCAGAAAAAAGGGCATTCCAAAGAAGGTAGCGAGAGAAATGTACAACAAGACATTTGCAGTGCGAGACAGATTCAGCATCAAGGTTACCAATACTAAGGTGCCTGGAACGTGTCTCCGACTGGTGTGTTTAGCGTCCTACCTCGCACAAACATCAAAACCGGTCCCGAAGTAGCAACAAATGACGTCACAGAAGCCGGTGTGTGATGCTGTTGCATGTCGCGATTCTGGCAGTTGGTCGTAGAAATGTTGGCAAAAAGCCCGAGCGTTGCTGTCGTCGCGGTGTCCCAACTTCTAACTGCCGTAGCTTCTGTGGACCGTCGCACTGAAGGACAACCTGCCGCAGAACAGGCGTCCACCACGTCCACCACCGCCCGGATTGCAGCCAGCGACAGCATGACAGTTGCACAACGTCACCGGGAGGAAATCAAGGGACCACTTTTTTCGACGCAGTAAAGACAGCAATGGGGGACGCGTTGCAGGCAGCATGCCAATGGAGTAAGCAGTGTACAAATGTCGGCAGGTTTAAAACAAAAATATGTATATTTTGATGTGGAACCAACCATAACTTAAGTCTAAAATAACTTTCAAAGTTAAATTTTGCGTGGTTGATATGACTGCGCAAATGACACAGACATAAGCAAAGAAAAAGACAGCAATGGACCGACTAGGTATCTTCCTGGTATGCCAGGAGCTATATGGGAGTGCCTCTGGAGTGACATAGATGCAAGGATGCTTTGGATCCATGCGAGTACGAAAGAATAAACAGAAAGTGCGGAAACTTTTGTAAGTAGTCGCTTCTGAAAGATGTCGCCAAAAGCTGAAGGCACATATTTTCTCACGCGATCCAATTGACCGCTCGAGCAAGAGTCAGAGAAGATGCTGACAGAGCCCCGAGAAAAAGTCATGAAAAGAGAAACAGTAGCGCAGGCATGCCTTGCCCAGAAGTGCTTTGCTGCAAGGGCACCAGACCTAAGTGAGCACAACGATGCCTTCAGCATACCCAGGAGGCTGCTCCATAGCCACCAAAGATGGGTCACCCTTGAGAAGGTTGGCGGTCAGCCCGCATCACTTCGGTGGCCAGCCGTCCGTGTAATGCCACGACCTGCATCCACCTTATCGACCGTAGCAGACAGGCAAAAAGACAGCGTGTGCCCATCCTTGGAACAGCTGTGCTTGGTGAAAGACACTGTAACAAGAGTTACAACCCAGCATTATGCTGTCTCGGCTGCTCTGTACCAGAGAACAAAAAACTGCCGGCCCCTTGTTCTTTGCCTGCACCCGACACCAGCAGTGGCTGAAGGACTCCACTTGTGTCTGCGGATGTTCAGTCCTTCTTTAACAGCAAGACGGCGCAGCTGTAGCACTTGCTGGTAACCCCAAAAAAGCTGTAACCGGGGAAGAATTATAAAGTGGTTTACCATTTACTAGCTTCGACGTGAGCGAGCGAGCACAGTCTTGAAAACTTTGATCAACGAAATTGGTTTCTATCAAATATTCTCAGCCGTGTTAACACACAAACATCTACCAACTCCTTGCAAGCAGACAGCGCCGTGCCTAAAGTTAGTTTGACGTACCCAGACAAATTTCTTAGATATGTTGGACATAGCTGATTTTTTTCGAAGGTGTGTCAGTTGTATGCGCGGTATAGATCTTATATATGATGACAGTGCCTGGTGTGTGCTGAGGACTCGAGACCCTAAGGACCATGCTTCCAAGTCACAGAGCAAACTTCCGGTACCAGTGCCGCTCTTATAGTCACACTAGCTGTATGCATTCATCCATCCGTCAGCTGAGTCAAGTAGACTTAGAACACCATAAATACGATAAAGACAATGCAAAGACAGCAGTGCAGTGCAGAAAATTGTAAGCTTTGACATTGGCGGCCCCTAGGAAAAGAACGAAAAAGAGAGGGACAGAAAAACGGGGGAAAAGCAAAAAGCACACATTCTATTCGACGTCCGGCGCCCCTGTTTTCTTGCAAAATAACTGCTGCTTCGCGTTTATTAAAGTCTACAAGTGATTTGGGGAGGCCAGGGAGCCTGGGATCTTATGTCTGCCTCTATGCCCCGTGGGGGCCTGAGGCGGCCACAATGAACGTTGTGAACTTGGAAGATGGTTTCCTCTTCACCTCATATTGAGCTCTGTGCCGCACACGACCGGCGTACCTATCGACCGGGTACGTTCGATGTAATGCCTACAAACTGGGGCGGTTACGTCCCACGAAACTACAAGAATATGGGCCGGGTACGTCCGACGCTGGTCCAACGTAGCTACAAGAAAATGGGCCGGGTACGCCTACCTACAAGAAAATCGGCCGGATACGTCCGACAGTGCAGCGAGAATGCAAAACTTGCATGCGAGATATCCACGAGATGTTTGACATATACGACCGATTCTGTCAGATCGGTTAGGTATGGGCACCGATCTTGTAAGAAACATGCGCACCCGGTCCTATTTGTTTATCGTCTGCCTAGACCAACATGGCACGCATGGAGATTAACCATTTTCCTTCAGCGCGATCATAGCAGTTCAATCCAATTCGCACCGCCATTGTATGGTAGCCATTGCACTGCAGCCGTCGCCGCGCCACCGAGCTCGGCCGGCTCAGCCAACTCGCACCCGCTTACCCGGCTAGGCTGGCTAGGCTCTGGCCGCTAGGCCCCTATCCAGGCTGGCTCTCTTCTTGCCCTCTTCGACGCAAAGTTGGCAACGTCAACAACGCTTACAACAACAACCTTCTATGTGGCGTGGTGGCTAAAGCCCCCGATGTGTTTGCAAAGTCTGTCTAACGAGGCCCTAAGGCACGGCTCCGAGGCCCGTGTCTCGTGAGCGACCCTCAGGTACCTTGGAAGCGCGGCTGGGCACTTCATAACCACGGTGTAGGCGGTGTAGGCCCATAACACGTGTCTTGCGCGTTTCCACAACAATGGTTGGCGTCTGGTTGGCGGTAGTGAACTTGACGGGCAGAGCTGGTTGGCGGTACTTGAAAAAAAAACGCCTGTGGCCAAATGAAGCCAATGAAGCTCTCGGCTACAGCCTTCTCGGCTACTTCTCTCCGGCCGCGTATATTTATGACGTACGTCTGGTCCGGCGAACTGCTTCCGATTGCCGCGCTCTCAGCGGGCGTAGCCGGACGTTATTTTGTTTTAAATAAGGGAGTGTCTGCTCCGACGGCCGTCGCTCGAGCCATGTCCACACAGAGACGGCTCCTTCGACACCGGAAGTAGTAAAACGTCACTTCCGGTGTCGAAGTAGCTTGCCCTGTCTGGGCACGGCTCCTTCGACACCGGTAGTTGAGGGTGACATCACTTCTGGTGTCGCAGCCTCGTTGGCCTCGTGTGATTGTCACCGCTGTCACTGCCCTTCCCGAGTCTGCGACTGGTCAAGTTCTGGGTTGGTTTCACGCAAGCTTTTTGCACTCATTTGAAGCGTTCCACTTGTCATTTGCCCGATTACTTCTTTGTTTGTTTAACCATATTCATTAGTATTTACTGCCATTGTCTGTATTTTGCGCTTCGAACGCGTTAATTTGGATTTTTTATCGGGTTGTAAACGAGCGTGGTCGCACTCCCAACGTGCCTCGTGTTTTGGTAGCCGGTGATCCTTACTCGAACCCACCGTGCTCGAACCAGTACTTCTCGTCGATTGACCGGAGGGCTATTGAGGTCGTTGCATCTAGTGGGATTAGGATTGGGAACTTGTTTTCACGGCCTGACAGGCTTGCCGATTTTGACGTTGCCATCGTGCACCTCGGCACTAACACACTAACACCACCAGCGTTAGTGCTAGCGTGTGCATCAACAAATCTGGTCATTGGAACGACAGCGTAGTCACGCTGCCGAGATGCAGGTTATGAATGACTACTACCGGCAGGTAAACTCCCTGCAGCGCGAGTTTTGTCGCAAGGAGGGGTTCGAGTTTCTCGGCGGCTTGGCCAACGAGTAGCAGCAGTGGATCGCTCGCGACTGCTCGGAACGGACGACAGCCAAGTGACAGCAGCCCCAGCTCGTGACCACAACCAAAAAAAAAGAAAGCCCTTTTTATTTCTACGCGCCGCTCCTTATATAAGCGCTCTATAAATGATGGTGTCCTCTGGCGAGCAATAAGATAAACACCATCACCTTAGTTGTGCCCACTACATCTCCCCTTAAAAGATCTATAAGTCAGTCGCCTTGGCGGTCCAATCACACGACCGCAACCTGTGCGTGTCAGCCGAAGCCCTTCTTGCCGAGGCTTTGGCAATGATGCTGGTTGACCCTCACCAGGCGTAGACTGCTGTAAACTTGGTCCTTGATTTTGTTCACTGGCTGGCAGTTCCTCTGTTGACTGGCCTTTTGAGAAGGGGATTAGATGCCGACGGTTTCACTGCAGAGTTCCCCTGGGCGTTTCCACCACATATGACTGTGGTCACTGAGCAGGGCTGAGGATACTGCCTCGGCAATCCCAACTTCAAGGGGGTCGGAGGACTTGAAGTATGCCGGCAATTGTGGTTCTTTGCCTGTTGTGAAGTGTTTGCGGCATCTCTTGCCTTGAAGTTCTGATGGCTTGGCAGTGATGGCTGAAGTCGTTCTGGTAGACCAGGAAGTTGAGTTAGTTTTCTTCACATTAACAACTGGGCAGGAGAAACACCATTGACACCGGGTGTGTCTCTTTACGATAGGAGAGCCAGGTATTTATCGGTGCTCTTTGCAAACAAGTTCTTCACGATACGCACCATGCGTTCTACTTTGCCGTTATTCTAGGGGTATCACTGGCTCCTAGTCTCATGGCAAAATCTGTGTGCCTGAGCAAAGTCTGCAAACTTGTGAGATGCAAACTGCGGTTAAATATCTGTCCGCACGACGTTCGGGATTCCATAGCAAGCCATGCAACTCTTGACAGCCGAGATGGCTGCTTGTGCAGATGTAGATTTGAGAGAGATGACCTCAGGAAACCTTGAGTAGTAGTCTACAATCAGAACATAGTCACATCCTTTTAGCTGGAACATTCGGAATGGACGATGGCGAAGAGACAGCAGCCCGTGATACCCCCAGAGTAACGGTGCAGTAGAGTGCATGGTGCATACCGTGAAAGACTTCTTTGAAAAGAACTGATCCATACCTGACTGTCCTCGTTGCAATCCAAGTCGGCCATTTCGCCGGGCTGGTGAAAGTGAATGGTGCGGATGAAGTTCCGACGCAAACGACTTGGATACGGAGGTCACCTTCCGCCATAGTGACGGTGTTAGCCAGCTTCTGACACCATGTTCGGAACGGACGACGACCAAGTAACAGCATCCCAGCTCGTGACCACAACCAAAACGAAAAAAAAGCCCTTTTATTTCCATGCGCCCCACCGGTTCTTATATAAGCACTTTATAAATGATAGCGTCCTCTGGCGAGCAACAAGAAAAACACCATCACCCTAGTAGTGCCCACTATTGCGACGGCATCCACCCAAGCCAGATGGGCAACGAGGTATGGCGTCTGTGCCGACGAGCAGAAATATAGAGACATTGATCTCAAAGATGGCTACAGTAGTAGCCGCACAAGTACGCGTCTGTGCATATTCAGTTGCAATGTACTTAAGAAAAAATATTGACTGAGGTGTTTACAATGTGAAAGAGGCTTATTGCAGAAAAGGCGCCGTGGTAATGTGATCTTTCGGTTGCTCAACAAAAAATCCCCCTGGTGGTCTAAATATTCCTGTGCCCTCCGTTGTGCTTAGCACGTAAATCTAAAAAAAAAAATTTGTTTCAAAAATTTTACTTTTGAGGGTGTATGAAAATTACAATCACCCTTATACTCGGTGTTCACAAGAACTTGAAGTATTTGTTTTTAGTACTTTGCAAGGAAACTACAACTCCCTACTGCAAGTACATTTTCCAAACCTGGTCTTACTAAATTTGCGAGGTATATTCTTACCTAGCGAGGTGCGTAAGCAGACAATGCATTGCTTCATATTGTCTTTGAGAACAATGTCTTTTTCATCGTTCTTAGAAGACAACAGAGTTTTAGAGAACCATTTTTCAACTCTGATTTTGATATCATTGGTTCCGCTGGTATTCACTGCGCATGGAATGTGTGCACCTGCATGTCATATTGTTACTGGAGCTGGAAAATGGTTCCTTTGAACTCTCTTAACCATACTTCGTCTCGGATGTTTCATACAGCTCTGGGAAACACACAGGGACAAATGCATTGATCCGAGCACTGGTTTGTTTCGTGAGGGCTCAGGAAAATCTAAGCTCTTTCAAAACCCATGTGCCGATGTCCTTGGCTTTCCAAATAGTACCTACAACTTCTGAGGTAGAGTATAATTTTGCACCAACCTAACAACAAAGTGATAGACTGTAATTATGCAAAAGTGTTGATTTCTTTCGAAACCTCTTCTGGCCATTCCTCTCAGAGGACTGGCAGTTATAGACCGACACGCTGTTTACAAACAAGCCCGCGTTTGCCCACACCAGGTGTGGGCGCTGCGCGTGCGCAGAAACCAAATTCGTGTGAGGGGAAGCTACTGCGCATGCGCCGTGGCGACAACAGCGCCACCGCAGAGGCGTGACGTCAGAGCCGCGTGTTGGTCTATAAGTGGCTTATAACTTTATGTTAATACATGCTTTGCACGCAATGTCATTCCTACTTGTTCTGGCCAAGAAGTACAAGTTTGAAGGTGTGAAATTTATGCTGCAGAAGGTACGAGCACAGGAGCATGGTACGGAGTAATGACTGCTGATGTAACGAAAATGCAAGCCGCTCATCGGGGAGAGAAAAAAAGTACTGGGTGGCCTCTTGGCCATGTCTGATATTTGCCGCTAGTACCGCAAATAATTCCCATATTACACACTTGAGTACCTATGCATACCATGATTTGAAAAACACTCAGAGTGGGAATGAAGAGGACCATCAGTTTACTTTATTTTAAAAAAAAGACTGCATTTATTGTACTTTACTTCAACTGCATCACGCCCTGTATACTTACTACTCAACTTGATGTACATGATTACTCTAACTTTACTTCAAGTAGTTTTTAGATATGCTTTACTTTATGAAACACTGCTTAAAATTTTAAATGGACACTAACTCAGACAATTAAGTTGGGCTGATAGTCAGGTTTGGTGCTGTAGTATAGAGGTTAAAGGGAAGCTACGGAGCTTCTTGGGAAAAATGAGTTGGAAGTGAATTCTAGTGTATTTTTACCCCGTGAACCCGAATACCCAAACCATTTGCTGCATAAGTATTGTTAAACGCGAGAAAAACGCGAAAAACTGTCGCTGTCCGTGACGTCATCGACGGCTCTTTTGGCTGCCCAAGGCTAGGGGGGCGGGGCTTCAGCCCTATTTTGAAATTGCTCTTGTGGCTCTCCGGCGCGTCGCATTGAAATATAATTTTGATATCTGTTATTCTAAAGGCCAAATGAACGCAATTCAAGCGTTTTTTCTCAAATGTAGAAGTGCCCCATCTTCCCTTTAATAGTTGGGCACTCTCAGCTATCTGGGCAGGTTCTTGCCAAGTTCATGAACCAGCAGGCGCAGAACATCGTGCAGAAGATGGCCGGGGCCAGAATTCAGCGGGAGTACTAGGGGACAACAATGAAGGCTTCTTCAAGCGCTGGCTGGACCATCAAAAGTTCCACCAGCCATGCTCTGTGAGGTTGAGTTTCCTCCACTTTGCTCTCCCGCTGCTTCCGCACCACCTCTGCCACTTGCTTCTGCTGCTTCCTCCCCTGAGAGTACCTGTGCACCTTGTGAAGCAGCTGCTGATGAGGTGCAGAGATGTCAGAGCAGGGCAGAGATGTCAAAATCTGCAGGCTCTCCTGAAACAGGTGCTTGCATGGCCTCTGAGCTCGTTTTGGACAGAAGCCAACCAGTTGTCACATATGGAAAGGCTGAGCGGAGGCACAGACGGGGCAAGCCTTCTGATGTGCCAGTGGAGTAGAGCCATGGTGCTGGGTTAGGCTGGTTGGTGGTGTTTGAGTCCACAGCAAGGATAGTCGGGTAGGGCAAACCTGGGAGAGCATGCCTCTTGCTAGTGCAGAGGAGTGCCTGAAAGCCACATCTTCAAGGAGCACAGCTTCTTTGAGTGGAAAAGCTGTACTCCGTTCCACCTTCGGTCTCAGCGCAGTGGACGCCACAAGCCATTCCAGCCGATCCAGCACCAGGAGAAAATCGCGTGACCTGCCTGTTGGGCAGAGCGACACCCGTAGCTCAAGGTCACATGCCACCCTCTCAACGCTGGATTGGCTGGGATGGCTCCTATAGCGTCCACTGCGCTCGGACTGAAGGTGAAACGGAGTATAGTGTAGGGGAGTGCCCGAAAACCACTTCCTTTGGAAGCACAGATTTTGGAGGGAACGGTGAGTGTGAAGCTAGTGCAGAGGAGTGCCCAAAAGCCACTTCCTTAAGAAGCACAGCTTCTGTAAAGGCCTGCGAGCAAGCAGCCCTTGTCACTGCCGATGCTTCGGGTAGAAAAGCTAGTGCAGAATGCCTAAAACCACTTTCTTGGAAGTTGCAGCTTGTGCAGAGAATGGTGAGCATGAAGCTAGTGTAGAGGAGTGCCCAAAAGCCTCTTCCTCGGGGAGCACAGCTCCTGTAAAGGCATGGGAGCAAGCAGCCCGTGCCACTGGCAATGCTTCAGGTGGGAAAGCTAGTGCAGAGAAGTGCTTAAAAGTCGCTTCTCGGGGAGCACAGCTGTAGAGGCTGGTAAGTGGGTGGCCTTTGAAGTGACTGAAACCAAGGTAGCGTGCCCTTTCCAAAGCACGGTGCGAGGAGGGAAGCAGCGTGGGTGAAGTACAAGAGCACGAAGCGACAGTCTCGCAGGCTGTGTAAGGCACTAAACCATACTGCCACTATTGCATCTCCCCACAATTGCTTGGGATGGAGTAGACCTTGCATAGGGTACCTCTGTTCTTTGTATGCGTCCGATAATCCATTGTCTGGCTTGGGGGAGGACAGCCCAGCATGTGCGACAAAGAGCAGGGCCACTGGAGGCAAGCATCCCGTCACAGCCCTGCTGCAGAACCATTTTCCTGCAGGCCTAGTTTAGCAACTATCCAACCTATCTAGCAGCATTTGAAGACTGGACCAAAAAAGGGTTGCATGTATTTTCAAAAAAAAAAAAAAAAAGGTCAAAGACATGTTCACGAGTTCAATCTGATGAATTTAAGTACTCCATGGTTGAGCAACCGGAAAGAATAAACACAAATTCTGGACGCAAACAGACGATACAACTCTTTCCGGTTGCTTAAGTATTTACCAACACGCTCGTTTTTTAATGTTAATCATGGTTGAGTTCATCTAGTCAAACCAACAGCTAACTCCTTGGCCCAATGCGGTGAACGAGGGCTAAATGAAAAATTGATTGATATTAAGGCATTTCTTAGCAGCCTTGCAACCTTCCCTAGCAACCAGGTGCAGCTCTTGCCATAGTCTGTTGCACCCTGTGCAGCTTGAGAGGATGTATCTCAGCAGCAGCTAATAGACAACAATCGGTGGGGCAACCTTTTCCGAAAAACTGTGCATTAGTTTGATCAAACGCAGGAGGCAGACCACGAAATGTGACAGTTATAAGCATGCACTTTCTGGAATGCTCCACAACAAGGCACTTCGCCTTAGTATGATATAGGGCAGAGTTAATTCCTCTCTACAGAAGTTATTTACTTACTGAAAAAGAACTGGCATGTGTAAGATCCAAAAGTTCTCTGTCTGATAGTGTTATGAATATTGTGCGTAAATGTTTTACGTAACACATAAAACATTTCCACATTGGGGTGGTTTTCAAGCTGTTCTGTTAGCTGAGGGACTAAAATTCAAACAGGTGAGAGATGCTTTCATTCAGCTATTGCATACAAGAGTTCCAGACCATTGGCAGTGATGTGATACTTGTGCCAAAGTACTACATCTTGCTACATTTGACCAAAATCTGAGGAACTCGAGCCAACATTGCGCCAAAACTTAATTTTAACAACTTGCAATTTGGCCGGAACGATAGGATTGTGTGAGTTTGCAGATCTTTAGAATATTACGTCATATAACATACTAACTCTGTCTGATTTCGCATCAAACACAGACATTACTCGTGTAAGCAAGTGCCATTGTGTTTTGCCTTTTTTCTTGTATTTTGCCGGGCGCATCCCAGAAGTCGCCTACGAAGGTCAGAGGGCACGAATGTTGTGTTCTTAAAGGCTTGTGTTAACACTGACTCCTTGGCATCAGGGGTCTCAAACGTGGATTCCAGCGCCATGAAGATACAACTGGCTGGCGTCGGACCAGATGCGGCATGTGCCAGCCAGGAGAGACCAAGCACCGCGAGAGAACTATACAGCAGTCTACCTGTGGGACTCTGAGCAAGAGCATTGTGCGATGGTGGTATGCAACCACCATAGTTCCCAAATTTGTAAATTTGGAAACTATGGCCTAAATTTGTACTTTCGACTACTATATTAAACCCAGTGTTTTTTTTAATTGCCAAAAGCTTAGTTGTCAAGACCTCATTTATTTTCTAGAATATATCTTATTTGAGACTATTTCTAACACTCGGAAGTTCCGCAATAATTTTCGTGTTCTGTTCTGGCGGGTTAGTTTCGCTGAGTGCGCTTCTCACCGCTCACTGGTGTACTGCAGTGAAGCGACAACCGCGGTGTCGCTTGTGTCTTGCTTCGCTGCAGCGCACCTGTGTGCTAAGGGGAAAGCATACCTCCAAAGCTATACTGGACGATTTTTGAATAAAATTTGGCTTGTATGTATGATAGACTGACTGCAGTATCGTGGAGGTATCTTTTTCCAATTCTAGATTTAGCAAGGATACTTCAGTATTGCAAATATATTTATGTGGACTCTTCTTTAAGTTAATGTATTATGCCAACTTTTTTGTTTAGTGGTCACTCTTATCTAAGTGTGAGTGAATTAGCAGCTAAATTACCAGAAGTAGAGAATGCAAGCCTGAGAAGAACCTTAACGAGTTCGGCGAAGTTGTTTATAAGAAGGCATATTTATCATTTACAGGCCAATTTTAGGGGCGAAGCTCCTTAGGGTCTAGCCATGTCCGGCATCCATGCTCACATCGATTGCCATCCCATCTGTCTTCTTAAAAAAAAGAAAAAATGTTTGTGCAGTCAACAGGATTCAAACCTGTGCGGGGAGACCCCAATGGATTTCTAGTCCATCGCCTTAACCACTCGGCCACGACTGCGGGATGAGTAGGGGCTCTGAGGTGTGGTAGTAACTCAAGAGCTGGGGATGACATGGATGAAACGTTGCATGTAGCCGCTCAACGTCTATACAGGAGAGGGTGCTGCGGTCAAATGCGTATATAATCGCGTTAAACTTTGCATGCATTGGCTCAACGTTTATAGACAAGAGGGCGGCTGTCAAATGCTCAAATGCGTATATAACCACGTTCCATACCACACATTCCATACCAACGCAACCCAGAGCTCAGCACTACCTATGAGCAATAAAAAAAAATCAGCACCATCAGCACTACCTATGAACAAGATCAGTATCATCAGCACCACCGAGAGTTTCGCCCCAATCAACATATGAACAAGATCAGTATCATCAGCACCACCGAGAGCTTCGTCCCAATCAACATCATTCAACATGTGGAGATACGGTCATTTTTTTTTTTGTTATGGAGTTCTAGGTATAAAATATAACTTATGTTTCATAATCAAATGACGAGTGATTTTTTTTCTGTATTAAGAACTGCAGTTTTATTACAACCTCTAGAACTTGAAGGAAACAAATTTAGGCACTCAAAATTATTGTATTCTAGCATTATTTCACTGGGATTCCATATCTAAATTTACAATTCACCACAATTCATGCTGTCCTTCATCTGTCATCTTCTTGTCACCGTGTCTGGTGCGTCTGCGTGCAAGTAAACTGCTAGTTTTGTGCTTGAGGAAATCAATCCTGCTGTGCAATCGATGATAACGAAAGGTTGCACATAAGTGAGAAGGCAAAGTAGACTCTGCCTAGTTGGACAGGTCAACACATGAATCTTAATGTAATATTTGCAGTGCTATGAATGAAAATGGAATGTGCGCTTGTGCTCCAAAAGTTCTTTTGGCTGCTCCAAGAGCTGCTCCAAAACGACTGAGCGATCACGTCACTGCATTGGCTCTCAGTATCAAACATTGGGTCACCTCCAAACTCTGTTTTTGCGTATGGTTATATTGACAATGTTCCTCCTGATTTTGTCAAGCAACTGTGCAGCATTCTGAAGTTACAATTGGCCACTATAAATGTTTTTATAAAACCTGCACAAAGTCGAGGCCAAGTCAAAGTCAAATTTGGGGGTTTTACATACCAAACCAACGACGGGCATCTGGCACACCCCAGCGGAGGACTGAGGATTAATTTGGACCACCTGGGGATCTTTTGACGTGCAACCGAAAGCTCGGTTACACGGCGCCTCTTCCGCAATAAGCCTCCGTCGGATTGTGGGCACCTCGGCCGGGATTTGAACCCGCCACATGGGGATCCGTAGGCCAGCGGTCTCGCCTCAGAGCCACCGAGATGGCTCACAAAGTCAAGGCGGCACTCTGGAGTGTGGCTTATTCACAATAGCTAACATGCAATACATAGCATTCGGCAAAGATCTTACCTCTGTAAGCTTCTGACAACAGTCAATGAGGACCCATTTACTAAACTGCATTCTAAAGGGAATGACAAAAGACTTTCCCATAATAAATTTTATTGTTTCTCAAGTGCGACCAAAAGACTTCGCTTACGCTGTTCATTGCTTGTGCAGGCAGCCTCTGCTTTGTGCCGGTGCTGTTGGCATTATTCAATGTTTAGGTTGTCCATCCCTCTTTCACGAGGAGTGTCCAGGCAGAAAACCTAATTGTGGCATACAGTTTGCATGCAGTCGAGGGTGTATTGTCACTGGAATGCAGAAGGATAGGCAGAGGTTATCCTAAATGACTGTTTCAAGACCTTGAACTTTATTTACCATACCCGCCAAGTTCGGAAAAACCAAATCCGGGAGAATTTTCTAAGCGGGGGGGGGGGGGGGGGGGGGGGGGGGGGGGGGGGGGGAGGGGAGGGGAGGGGAGGGGGGGGGGGGGTAAATGTTTTTTAAAAAGAGACATTGATAACAAATGTAAATGAAGACAACTTCATTATATTTATATTGCACTGCTCATGCTAGCGAAAAACTGCTGCGCCTCGCTATCGTAGCAGCCGTTTGTTACGACGGCAAAAACCACTTATTTAAGTGCGAGGAGGGAAGGGGGGGGATTTGAGTTTTTTGGGAGATTTTTCTGGCAATTGTACTAATTGGTCAAAATTCGGGAGTCTCCCGGGTAATACGGGTAACTTGGCAGGTATGATTTACCCTTGTTATGTTTATTCTTGTTATTCTTTACCTTTGTTATGTCTCCACCTGCATATTTCTTACTTTTCATCATTAGAGTTTGATATGACAAAAACTGACTGATATATTTGAAAAGGCATGTGACCCTGTAATAAGTTGCAAATTATTATTACAATTGTGTTCAGACACTCATCGTGGCCAACAATTTCAATAACAATTGTTGTAAAAAAAAAAAAAAAAACTTGCTCTCGAGACTAATAGATGGATAATAACAGCTGTATCCTTTATAATGGGTGGCAGCTTCCACCACCTAGCCTAAAACATTAACAAAAACCAGAAACATCATCCACTGCCTCCTTCCCCCGGCGAGGGAGTCGCCAATTTTCCTCTGGTCAAACCTTGTCAGCATCAGCAGATTCCTCACGAAACCGCAGTAAATGTTGGGGCTTAAGTTTAATGAAATAATTCGCAACTGGTTATCAGGTCACACCTTATCATCTGCAACAGAGTGCCCTCTCCATTTCAAATACCATCTTTTTTCCCTTATATTTAGCATAAAAAAGTACTATGTACAGCTGCTGATTCCTATGGGGGACAAGACAAAAACAGCTTAGTAATTTGAATTTTTATGCTTTGGTGCATGGTGCTTTTAATCTTTTTCTTTTCTTTAATTTAGGTCTTTTGGAGGAGCCCGACTGCTAGAGAGCGTGCTCTAAGGTGTTGGATAGAGAAACGGCTTCTGTCAGGAAGTTGTGAAAACAACTTCCAACTACAAGATAAGCATTCATGCCCACGGACCAACAAGCTTCTTTTTTTTTTTGTTGTTGTTGTTAATGTTCCTTTTTCTTTTTGGTTGCATTTAGTTCATTTCTTTTTTTGTGCTTGTGTTAGGTCTTATTTTGTTGAAATAAACTTTTTGCATCCATTTCATTCATGCTATTCTTGTTGCAAAAACACCGGCAGCAACATTCGTTCAAGATAATGCTGCAGAACAGGTTACATTGAAGCAAAGCAAATGTGTCAAAGGGACTGACAATTGAAACAGTTAGCATATTAAACTTCATACTTCTTGGAAGGCTCGCTGATGTGACTGCTGCACCAAAGGCCTTAACCTGCTATATGCTGCTAAAATTAACCAAAATACTACTATCATGAATTTGTGCCAACGCTGCACGAAAAGCTAGACTTTTGCTCGCTATTTGAGATTTACTCGGAGCTTGGTACCTTGCTGGATCATTATGGTAGAGGATGGTGCTCGTTCTCAAAAATACAGGCTATTGATTGGACTAACACACTATTTGATTTTACCTTTGTATCGAACAGGGACAGTACACTTAATTTCCCTAATAGTCCTCATTATTTTAAGTTTGTTGAGGTGGCCACACTAGCTTTGGTGAGTGCACTTCTCGATAGGCTTTGGTGCACTGTGGAGAAGACACTCGTACTGTAAACAGCAGTTTTGTCAGGTTTGCTTCCCTGCAACACACTTTCGTACTAGGGGAAGACTTACCTAATGAGCAGGGTATTAAGAAATTAAACATCTGGGATATGGTACATGTTGATCTGACAATAAAACCTTGCAGAAAAATTGCAAAAATTAACTGCAGCTATTATGTAGGCGTGCATGTGACAGCAAAACGGCGAAAAAGTATTCCGGAATGCAGATACTTGTAGAAATACATTTGTTCCCGAATGGTGCTACGTGAGGAGGGTATAATTCGTGGTGAATACGAATGGTAATTTATGCTTGTGCTCCTCTTTTTGTGCCATTTTAAGCACTACCCCTTTGCTCAAACTCTTTATTTATCATTATGCCGCTAGAAAAACATGACACCCCCCTTGAACCACATAGTTATAGAACGGTAAAGACTGCGTATCATGCCTGACAAAACGCGTCTGCCCAAAATGAACATTGTTTTGCCATGAGGGCGCAGAACCAGTGCAGCCGCCGCGTTGGGATCGTCATCGTCATCAATGTATCGGGATCGTCAGTCTGCATCCAAGAGCTACTCAAGGTGGGGGCTATCAAGAGTGTGATACTTTTCCTGTGTCTTTTAAGAAAAATATGAACATAGCACCACGTAGCATCAAAAAGAAACAGTTTACACAAGTCAATCTTTCAACGCTTACCACAGGGAGCCAAACCTGTGCAAGCAGGTGCGTAAAACGCTCTCAGAATATCATAATTGAGCACATTCCTACCCTAGGTTAGGATCTTGATTCTATGTCCACCATGGGTGCATTATTTTCTGAAGTGAAAGGAAATGTAACCTCTCACTGGGCGTTATTGTTAAACATTGCAGACATTTGAGCAAGAGCTCCGAGAAATGGCACCACAAGCAGAGATGGGCGAGGAGTGTCATCTGCTCTTGTTGTCTGCTTCTGCACAGACGCTGAACTGACTCCGGAGCTGGTGCAAGCTTTTGAGGAACTGGGTCTGAACTCGTTTAGAACTGGGATGAATCGAATGTGCCAGTGCAGCGGCTGTGCAACTTCAGGGTGAATCGAATGTGCCAGTTCCTGCACTGCTGAACTAGTTCAGCCACTTCAGGCAAATCAAACAGACCTCTTATGATGTTGTACACCCTCACTATAATAGTACCCTTAAATGTCAGTAGCAGACTCTCATCAGGCAACCACCGAAACGGTACCTTGTGTCAGATGCTGGGACGACCGGCGTGTCGCAGAAGAGCACGAGAACACACATGCCAGTGAGCACAACAAGAATGTCTAAACCACGGTCTGGAAACAAAAGGTAGCAACCTGAAATTACATGTACCACCCATCTCGATGCATGGCACGCCTGGCAAGAAAGCCGGTTTGGGCACGACGTCGCATAGATAAGAAGTGCAAGACATCCTCTCATGGAGTTTTAAGCTAAGACACTGTGAAAAACTTGTCTAACTCTATGCATTTTTTATTAAAGGAATTTCTTGCTTTGAAACTCACATTGGCACATTTAAAATCTTATATTGTGACCCATACAAAAGTACTTAATATTACTAGTGCGACACTTTTTCTAAGCCTCAGAACTGTCTACTTAAGTAAAGGTGTCAAATGCTGTCCAGCTTCACCTCATTTATTCACGCAAGACAACTAAAGAGCTTGAACAAACATTCACCATATCAAAGCAGAAAAAATATGTAACTTCACATGTAAAAAAAAAGAATGTGTTTCCCCTGTGAATTGCAGTTTGATACTAATCAATGTTGCAGGCCTTATCAGCAAAAAGTGGCTAAAGTGCTTAGCGAAGAAAAAGAAAAAAGAAACTTTTTGTGTTGGGATTTGCCCTTACAAGGTGCTTCATTTGCATTGCACACCCTAGTTAAGTGTCTGAGCATTACATGCCCCAGGCACTCAAACGATAAATACCTCGTTGCCTGAAAAGCACGTTCTAGCTTCGATCCGCAATTACAGTTTTGCGAATTCGCCAAGCTTAGTAAATTCTAAATAGTTTTCTTCTGCACTTGAATGCTTTAGGGAGAAGGAAGAGTTCGATTTATACAGTTAAATTTTTGTAGGGATCGTTGGCTTTGCCAAGTGCTAGCTACAAAATAATGCATTCGCCAAAAAGCATAACATTTCAAATGTAACTATTTCGCGAATCGAAAACAGCAGCCCAGGTTCGACACATACGAGCGGTCAAAAATACACGGCATGAGAACGACGCAGCAACCGGCAACATCACAGGAATTTCGTAACAGCACAGAAAAAAAATTAAATTACACCCATTCGCTCGGCACAACTATGATTTTATTATGTATAAAGCAACACGAGTTTCAACTCACCAACGCAGGTTCGATGTAACGTTCAGCGTGCTTGGGCCGCTGGGTAAGAGCAAGGAAGTTTTGTCTAGTAGAGTATAGTTATGACATTTATTCCATTCCTGATGCGCTTATCGATCTTTCAACGAACCAATTCGAATGTCACCACTGAAAATGTTTGCAGAAAAGCCAAAAAAGTAAAATATTTCAAACCTCCTGCACCTTGTGCACAGGACTGGTGAGCGCCATGACACAACAGATCCGCAGAAATTGAAACACGTTTGAATGTAAACATAACAAATTTGTTTTGAATTTTCAAAGTTAATAGATCTTGTTTAATTAACAACATTATTTTTTATTTTATTTTATATTTCTATAAGCATGCGGTAAGAAACAAAGATTGGAAAATCAATCTGTGCGGTGGTATCGGGCTATTCTCTATGCCGCGAAACACAAACAACATGGCGGTAGTGTGATGGTGGCCCGTTGTCTTTTTTGAGGATGTACTGGGTGTGCGCCACTGCAGAAATACAGTGGGTGCGATTTTCGGACTTAAGGAAACGGTGGTGGTGGTGATGGTGGTGGTGAGGGGGGAGGGGGGAGGGAAGGGAAGGGGAGCAAGGGCACAAACAACGGGCCGGCATTTTAAGTGTTTTTTAATGAACAGTTGGGGGCGGTCGTTTGTTTGCTGAAACGTTCGACCAACTGAGTGCCATCCCGTTGTGTTCTGCTCTTTCAGAAGAGAATAATACTATTTCTGCTATTGACTGGACACAGAACGGAGGAGGTTGATACGACTATTTATTATTGTAAAAAATAGACATAGCACAATAAAAATGCAGACTGAGAGGCACGTAGAACGAGCGCTGTGTTTACATGGTCGGACAGAACGGTGTGTGTAATGTCATTCATGTGATGCATCACAAAAGGTGCATAGGATCCTAGAACAGATACTACATACTACTGAAAGCCAGAGCCGAACTTCAACTGAAGACACTCTTGAAGAACACGGAACATACCGTGGTGTTTGTAATCAATGTATCTGATGGAACGTTGGGCTATTCTGAAGTTCTCTCGGTGCGTGAATCTTGTGTATTAAACTGACTGCACTGTGCACTTGTCCCTTTTTTCTTCTTCTCGGACCCTTATAAATTATTTTCCTAACCACCGTCTTTTTTCTCCTCCCCTAGCTGTCATGAAATCTTCATGTCGTGCCATATTCCTTGGGGCCATACTGACATCTCACTGTATAAACATGCACAACATCCGACTTGCTTTGCTTTTGGGGAATCTGTGTGCTAGCGCACACCAGCTCGGAGCGCGTGGAGCGAAAGTTCGCGCTGCAGAACCCAGGGCTTGGGTTCAATCCCTGCCCGCTTCGATCTGGATGAGCATCGTACCGGTGTGCGGATGTGTATCACTACTCCGTGGTGCACGTTAAAGACCCCAGGCTAGCGGTTGTACTGTACTGGCTAAATTGCTCATCTACAGCGAGTGACTCGTCGCAGCTCTAAAATGGCTGACCAAATACACGTTGTATAAATATTCACACAACCATTTATTTTAGATGTTGATGACCTGTGCAACACGCGTTCGTTTTTCACCACACGCAAAAAAAAAAAAAAAAAAAATAGCAGAAAAAAAATTAGCTGCGTTTATTTTCTCAACTTAACAGACAGAACAAGCGGCCACCTGATCTGGAGCCGAAGCACATGACACGCGCTGAGTTCCAGATATTGTGATGGTTCGGCTACTGTCGTCATTGCAGCGATTGGACGCGGGCCACTACCCGATTGCTTCTCGAGCTAGTAATTATCACGAGCCCAAATCGAGTGTTCACGCAATGCTCGGGTCCAATCTATGAACCGCATTCAAATATCGTCACTTGGGTGTACTGCGATCCCCCAGCTACGTCATCAAAGTTTTGCGAAGGGGAGACTGAAAGAAAACGCTCGCTTTTGCCCTTGAAATGACATCGCAACAAAGGAGTTTCTTGGTCAGTGGCGTTGCGTGCGAGTATCCTTCAGTCCCACTAGTGCCAGTAAACTCGTGTAAAGCGAAAAACATTCCAAGTGAATATATGCGATATTCAATTGGAATGTTGGTCGTTTTTATTTAATTTTTTCTGCGACTTCGACTGCGTGGGGTGAAAACGGAACGCGTGTTTTATAGGTCATTAACGTCAGGGATCCGTTCTTAACGATATTTGCGCGAAGTACAGAAATTGTTGCATCGCCTCTTTAAAGGGATGCTGAACCAAACATTTCAGTGTCTATAATAAGTGGCGCACGATCTTTCCACGAGCCAGCAGCCGCCGGTGTGCGTGAGCACACGCAACGAAATGAACGAGTTTTAGAAAAGGGGGCCCCAAAGCTTTGGGTGCCCCAAACAGCTCGGGGCATCGCAGTGGGCATGCGCAGAAGTTCTGCGCATGCGCAGTGGGACGCCCCAAGCTGTTTGGGGCACCCAATGCTTTGGGGCCCCCTATTCTAAAACTCGTCAGGCACGTAGCCAAGGGGTGGGGCCATGGGGCCCGAGCTCCCCTCCCTGGCTTTTGGGGAAGGGGGGGGGGGGCTGGTATGCCCCCCCCCCCCCCTTGAAATCTTCCATCTTGCTGGGGCCTTCTATCCCCGCCCCCTCATACAGCAGATTGTCATGGCGCTGGGTGTGCGCTCACTCGGCCACCGATCCCCCCAGCTCGACGCGCGTGAAGCGAAAGCTCGCGCTGCAGAACCCAGGGCGAGCTTTCGCTACACGTGTTCCGAGCTGGTGTGCCCTAACCCACTCGGCCACGGATCCCCCTGTTTCCCCGATCCCAAAGGAGCGGAGATGAGTGACCTCCAGGGCCGGAGGTAAAGGTGACCTCTCCCCGAAGGCCCCTAAGATGACAGTGCGGTGGGAGCAACGCTCTCGCGAGACCAATCGACCGCTTCCTTTTCATCACCTGACCCCTCTCTCGATCACGTGGCCAAGGAAAGACGTACAACTGCTCAAAGTGAGCATGCAACTCGCACTGTCAGCTTATGAGTGAACGAAGTTGCTAGAGAAAGTGAAAAGTTTCTTTGAAAAGAAAGTGAAAAGCAAAGACGTCCGACTCCTGATGAAAAGCAAAGCGTTTGCCCTGGCCAGTGGCGGCTGTTTCAGGGGGGAGGGGGGGCAAAACACATGCTTTGCCCCCCACTCTGAAAACTGGGGGAGGGGGGGGGGGGGGGGGGGGGCTTGCAACTCTCTGGGACAAGTCCTTTAAAGTGAAGGGAGCGAAACTATGATATGGACCAAGGTATGCAAACACACTCCGTAGCTTCGACCACGGGCTTCGACCCAAATTGCTTAGGCAAAATAATAATAATAATAAATAATCAGAAAACATCGTCCCAGCGAAAGCTTATATTCGAAACAAGCTTACACTTAATTGACAGAAAAGGTGTTTGTAAATGTATGTTATGAGAGTCATACTTAACCATAAATTGGTCGCTGCTTATTAAAGAACAATACCAATTTGCTACATCTTTCGAGATTTCCTTCGAGCTTTTCGGCATGTTCAGCGCTTCCTTGTACACGAGACAAGAACTATACCACCATAAACCACTAAATCAGTGACAGATGTATGATCGCAGAAGTATACCACGGGTGCGGCACTTCTATGCACCGAATGTGGTTAAGGAATAAGATAATATAAATTAATTTACTTATACATTAATGCTGTCTCATCCACAGGCAACTCAGTGTCTAATACAATATGCATGATGGGTGCGACTTATACCGTGAATTATTTATTATGAAGGTAACAACCAGGGCATACATGCCGAGGGCAGAAAAATTGTCCGGAGCAGTGGTTCTCAAGCATTGATGATTCGCGGACCTCTTGGGAATCGGCGGATATGATGGAGGACCCTGTTCGTGGTGAGGGAAAGGAAAAGTTATGGTTTAATTACAAAAATGATTTAATAAATGGATATAACTAAGGGCTAATGTGGAGTAGACTTCTTTTTGTGACATATACACGAGAAAACTCACTCGAAAATTGTAACCTTTCTTCTGAATCTCAGACAAGACAACTTTTATTGCTGGGCTTGACTGATGAGGCTCGGCTTCGCGGACCCCTATAATACCTCCGCGGACCCCCATTGGAGAACCACTGGTCTGTAATAAAGGATAAATTCAGCGCAAAATCCTGCTGGTAAGCATCTGTGATCGGTCGAAAAGAGCTTCACACTGTCGCACATGACGCCATTCCGCGCTTGCACGCGTTAAACGATACCAAGAGAAGCGCGTTCCGACATCGTTTTATATCGGATGAATTGGGGTGAAAAAGCGACCAGAGCTATAAAATGTACAACAAACTAACTATGGCACAAAAGGACGACGGAGGCATACTGGGATAAAGGGAAATTCAATGACGATGGCCCGTGGTCTGCAACATGATTATCAAGTGCGCTCTTACGTTGTAACAGCTAATCTAAAGGTTGTAGCAAGATCAGTGGCATAGACAGGAATAGTTTTCGGGGCGGGGGGGGGGGGGGGGGGGGGGGGGGGGGGGAGGGGGAGAAAGAGAGAGAGGGATGAAATGCTTTTGCGAAGGGGGGAGGGGGGGGGCTGAAGCACAGGGGTGAAGTGAAGCCCCATAAGCCTCCCCCTGTCCCATACCAATTTAGCTTTGTCCTAGTATACACCTTTCCAATGTTCACAAGTCCACAGCCCAGCGCACAACTCCAAAGCCTAGCAGGCGCCATACGTACAAACAATGAAAACGGCGCCTGCCAGGGGCTCTTAGAAGGGGGGAAGGAACGAGAAATTAAAAGAAAGGAACAGACCAGGGTTCAAGGATTAAGACAAGTGACAAGTAGATATGGTAATTTGGAGATGTGCATCTTATAAAGGACGATTACAAAAATTGTTTGTTGCTGACTAATAAAGCGTTGTGATTTCTTCTTAGTAACTCATGTACGTACTGTGACGCTTGAAGAGAACACGGGAGCGCATGGACCCCGCACCCGCGCAAGGTATACTCGCCCTAGTTGATGCCGGCTGCGGAACCGCTGCGCAGCCGCAAAGTGGGAGGGGCGTGGCGTCCAGCGCGTCGTCTGCTACGGACGGAGCCACGCGCTGCCAGGTTTGCCCGTCAAGGGAAATTCACTCACGCACTTCGAAGGCTAAGAGAAGGAGTGTGCGATCACTGCTTTCATTCGAATTTTGCACTGTCATTCCTAACTTCAACACTACACAGAGCCGATATCTCGTGAATCATGCTGCGCTATTCGACAG